GAGTGTCGCTGCTGGTGGTGACACTAATGATGAGTACTTCCTCTAGAAGTAAGTAATATGATGAGTTGGTGCAAGAATTACACAAACGAAGGCATCTCAAAATGCTCGTCGCCGAAGTAGAAGTGATCAACAAAGACATGGACATCAAGAGCAAGACCATAGAGGATTTAGCACGCAGTATCATTCATACAGGTTCTATCTTTCCTTTTTCCACCTTTTATTAAAACATTCAGGACAATGTTTGGTTTAAGTGTGGGGGAGGAACTCTACCGCTTTCATTTTATCGCTTTTTAGCTTGATTTACTGTTGTTTCTAATATGTCAAAGTCTGTACATGTGCTGTCAAGTCTTTATGCGTGGTTTTCGCCTATTATTCAAACTTCCCCAAAATTTCAAAATTCTAACCTCCAACAAAAACTTTTTGATTCATGACATGGTACTCTGAAAGTATATAGGCAGTTTAGGCTATGTTAGAAAAAACTTGGGAAAGTTTTGATAAAATTGATATCATCCTGACACCCTTAACCCCCTAAATATGCAAAATCAACTTGAGTACCCATTACGTCGAGACCTTAAAGCTCCAGTTCTTTTAGTAATCCCTAAGTAGTTTATTTAAGCAGTCAGCACCATCCCAACCACACTAAGTAAGAAACCAATGCAAATAAGTGTATGATCTCTAGTTTAAAATAAGAAGAAAAATTATGAAGAAAAAGACGTGTTCCTTCTAAGTTAGGTGCTCCTCACCCGATCACTTAGCCCAACGGTACAAACCTTTTAAGTTCAATTGATGCTTAAGCATATTTGCAAAAAAGAATGAAATATCAATGAGATCATAGTCACTAATAAGTTTACTTACCATGAATGTGTATGTATAACGGGCTTAATGTGATTGCATTAGAATGAAATGGGGTGAAAGAGAGCATGAGGTATAGGTTGAGTTATAATGGCATGACTCGGGTTAGTTTGCATAAGTAGGGAGTTTTTGAAATTGTGTCATCATGGTATCCTTGGTATTGATATTTAGTACCTGTCGATATAACATTAGCCTAACAACCATGTATGATTAGAGTCTCACTGTGTCCTTGTTTCAAATTATGCTTATTTCTTTTTCACCGTGTTGGTTGATTGCTTGAGGACAAACAATGGTTTAAGTGTGGGGGTGTTTAATAACGCGAAATCATATCGTTTATTTGGCTTGATTTACATGCATTTATTTGTGACTATTATTAATTTATCTTGATTTATGTTCTGTTATATGATTAATTTACTTCGTTTAGCAGATTGGGGAGAATTTGGACTAAAGAAAGAAAAGAAGAAGAAATGGAAGGAAAACAGATGAAAAATAGATGAAAAACAGCAGATACGGATTTTGCTGATATGACGGTCGTCACATGACCCTTACGACCGTCATGCGTATTACGACCGTCACATTTCATGACGAGCGTCACGCAGACAAAATATCAGTACGTTCAAATCAGAAGTACCCACGATCACTCTCAACTTAATTTCTTCCTACACTTTCTCCACTCACTGCCCACTACTGGAAGTTACTCTCACTCCCTCCATAACTCACCCATGATCTCTGGAAGTTGAAGAATGAATTATCTCCTATAAATAGGCCTTAGATTCAGAGTTTCTGGGGGGAGCCTTCGACGTATCGAAGTGCTGCCGAAATTATCAATTGAAGCTGAATTTACGTTCTTGCATTATTTTCCTGTTTCCTTTTCCTTTTATTCCCATTTGTATGGTTTTATTTGTTCATGTACCTTACCCAAGGATTTGAGATCAGTACAATTTACAGGTTTTTATTAATTGAATTACTACTTTATTTAAACAAATATCCAACTATTTTCTGTATCACACAATAATCATTCAGGTAACGTCACACCGATAGAGTATGTTCATCACTCACATAATGCATAGAGAATTGAAATCCATTTTAATAAAAAAAATTATTGGATTTCATAAAGTAATACATGTCTTCAAAAAATATATATTTTTTCTTAAATAATACTTTCAACTATATGAAATAAGAAATATAACAATGTATAAATATTATGTCATCAAAAATTCTAATACCGATAGGGTACTTGAAGTATAATTTACACAATCATAAATCATAAGTGCATTAAACAAAACAAATTATACTAATAATAATATACCGGGTATAATTATTATCAATATAATATTTATTATAACTAAAATTAATTTAACAAAATTTGAATAACTGTACCACAATAGGTGAGTTACAATCATGCAAATTAAGATTAATTATATTTTATCCAAAATAGGAAAATTTATATAATTGTATCCACGATAGGTGAAATTACAATTATACAAATTAATATTGATTACTTGATTTTCCATAATAAAAGTCATAAAATAATAAGATTTCAATATAAATATATATATATATATATATATATATATATATATATATATATATATATATATATATATATATATATATATATATATATATATAATTGCATAATTTTAATTTCAAAAGGATGTGAATAATATTTTAAGAAATTCCTCCTTGTATGCAATTATTATATAATAGTCACAAGAGATTCAAAATTAATCAAAATTAATAAATAATTAAATACAACTAACCTCGAAAAGAATGTGATATTTATCCTTGTGAGTAGAGGTATTAAACTTTAATGACTTTTAGAATTATAGTATCATCTCAAAATGATTCATAAATAAAGAATAAATCGTTATATCAAAATATAAAACTCTATTTATAAATAATCATAATTCAAGGATAATACAATTTAATTTTATTAAAGAATATCTCAAAATCATTATATATGAAAATTTTAAATATATTTAAAATTTGAATTAAATCAATCATTTTATAACCTATTATATTTAAATATTAGAATATACCAAAACATCAAAATAAATAGAATATTAATTATTATTTAATTAATCAAATATGGATTGACATAATTAATTATTAATTAATTATATTATGGTCTATTGTTATTAAACACTAAATAGATGAATTGTTTGATTGAGTTTTGTGTCTGAATGGACCGTAATGGGTTGAACTATTCAGTTAAGCCCAATGAGAGGTCCCTGTCTTCAGCCGTTTAGCTATTTAAGTGTCTCCCCATTAGACAATTAAAACTACTCTGAAAATCGTAAACTGTAATGAGGGTAGTAATTCTCTCATACTCACAAGATTCGACAACCGTCTCTTCAATCTTATAAGGTACACCGTTCTAATTATTCTTAATTATTGTTAGATTAAACAATATATTATAATTTGTATCTATTAAATTTAATTTAATATCTATTAAATTCAATTTAAATCCTTCAAAGAATGCAAAACAAAAAGTAAAAATTCTTAATGAACTATAAGACAATACAGTATCTTCTAAAAAAACACTAACAAATGAATGATGAATTTGGATAGGGTTCTGAATATATCATTGTCACATTTAAATTCATTGTAGTTGCACGTCTCCTCCACACCACATTAAGTTGTTGTGTTTTGACTCATACCCCACATTAATAATTCACTAAAAACATCAAAATTTCATCTAATAGTAAAAAGATACATTTTAAACCTAAATATACTTATGATTTTTTATATCCTAAGATCTTTTAATTGGGTATCATTCCCTCTTCACGGCAAAAAAATATTCTTGTCCGCTTTACTCAAACACTTGATTATCTTGTACATTTCGCATTCTACCTAATAAAAGTTTTAGTAAAAATGAGAAAATTCATTTTTTTCTTATGTTTTACTAAATAATTGATAAAGTTTTGTTCACACGTCCTAACTCAAAAGAAGTCATATTAGATTGAATACTATCATTAAAAATTAAATTTTAATATTTATGATTGTGTGTATGAATTTCTAACCGTTATTATCACTTTATTTACAAACAAAAAAAATTTGATGAAATTTAATTATTTTGTATATTAATGATTTGGTGCGGTGGCTCAACCATGGCCAACCCATATAAAGCTGGTTTTGTCATTTTATGTGACACCATAAGCATATTATTCAAATCTAGCCACAAACTAGTAAACACCACTTTTTTCTTTTAATTATTTGCCTCATGTTATTTCCATTTATTTATATATACCACCATTATTATTATTATTATTATTATTATTATTATTATTATTATTATTATTATTATTATTATTATTATTATTATTATTATTATTATTATTATTATTATTATTATTATTATTACTCCAAATAAATATTATCCTATTAATTGAAAAATGGTGGGACCCTGAAAGCATGTTGATTTAGTACCAACTTTTGTTATGAAAATGGAAGGTATTTGAAAATGTATATGTATGGTACCTGTGGTGTGGTATGGTGTGGTGTGAATTTAATTTATTAAAGAAAAAAAATAAAGTGAAGCTTTATTTATCTTTATGTTGGAGTAACAATAGCAATGTCCACTGTGTAGAAACAACTTCTTCTGAAAAAAGAGAAAAACATGGCGCAGACATAGTCATGATTTTTCTGTGTTCATAACTGAACTTGTTTTGTGCTTCAACCTTATGTAACACAAGCTGCAATTACCATTCCCTTATAATTTGTGAGTTTCTTGTCTCGTTCATTGTTCTTTCTTAATCTGATTTTGTTTTGTTTTTATGTTTTTTGAAAGGAGGGTTCAGGATAGTTTCATAGTATATATATATGCAGCTGAGAAGCCTAAAAATTGTTTCTTTTTTATGTAAGTTATTTTAATGTTTGGTTTCTAACTTCTGGGGTGGTGTGGTGGGGTTGAAAGTTGATCTCTTTAGGATCTGGGTGTGATTGGTTTGGGATAAGAAACTTGAGATCTATCTAGGTGCTTTTGGATTTTGCATTCTAGATACCTGATTAAGGTTTTGTTTTAGATCTAACCAAACATGAAGTTACCTTTCATGTTTGAGAATTTAGGACTAGATATCCTATGTTTGTTTGTGTCTACACCAGATCAAAGTTATATTGACTGTCCATTTCTTTGCAGCTTGTGTATGGGGACTCTGGCGCTCGAACCCGATGATGTAAGCTCGGATATATACCTTTCGTTGGGCCTTAAAGATATCGATAAAGGTGTTGGAGTTCCACGGGTTTTGTCGCTTCTCTCTTCAGTTCTTGAGAGATCAATTCAGAGAAATGAAATGCTATTGGAGACAGAACGTATAGAAGATGTTGTTACAGTTTTTCACGGTTTAAGAGCGCCTGCTCTGAGTGTTCGGAAGTACATTGATAGAATCTTTAAGTACTCGAGTTGCAGCCCGTCGTGTTTTGTTGTCGCGCACGTATATGTGGATAGATTTATTCAGCGCACAGAGATTAAATTGACCTCACTAAATGTGCACCGGCTTCTCATAACCAGCATTATGCTAGCCGCCAAGTTTATCGATGACGCGTAAGTGCTATTTTGATTAGCTTTTATTGTCATTATTTGTTCAAGATGTTAACATAGCTTTATATTTGGTGTTGCAGATTCTTCAACAATGCTTACTATGCTAAAGTTGGAGGAGTAAGTACATCTGAGTTAAACAGATTGGAATTGAGCTTTTTGTTTGGTATAGATTTTAGGCTTCAGGTTAGTGTAGACACATTTGGAAGATATTGTTTGCTATTGGAGAAAGAAGGTTCAGAAACACTTCAAATTGAAAGGCCAATGCAGGCTTGTAGAATTAAAGAAAGTTGGTCAAACAAAGATGAGTCTCCATGTGCTTCCACAATTGCAAGATGGTAGTGTGCAAGCACTATGTATCATTATTGTTCCACAGTTAAATGAATTCAAAGAAAAAAAGATTGATGAATATACACCATTAGTAATTAAACCATTTTTTAAGGGCGTTGTTGTTTGTTCTGCTGCCATTTTTAGCTTTTTCTGTTTTGTATTTGTTGTACACTTGTTTGAAATCGCAAGCATGTAACCGAATAGAGGTTGTAATGAATTTTATACCTTTTACTATATAATAAACCATTAAAGATACACAATAATATTGTTAGTATGATGCATGCCATATCATATGCCACAACACGAGTTCTATACAGACACATACAATAACAATCAAGTCTTATCCTACTAAGTGTGGTCGGTTGTATACAGACAGAAGACCAAAAAATAGTTACATTGTAATAACAAGCATCTATTGCTTCATATCCTTTGTTTAGTGAATCTTCCAAGAAAATTCGTGACCTTTATTTTTCATGATGCCATTGACAATCCTAGTATATCGCCATGTGAGAATGACTCGATGAGTTCTTCAGTCTGATCCAGGAAATCTCCGGCATAATTTTCAATTTTAGCTTCACGGAGTGTTGCTTCATAAAGCAAACATTTGACATCACCTAGGAGGCCTCTCCAGTGCAGTCCAACCAAACTTACCTTTTCTAAAATCTGACAGGATACGATATGCTGCTTGATGAACATCTCCGTTGAACAAATGAAGCGCAAGCTTCTCTACGAATCTAAAATTAAGTAAATATGTGATATTGAATTTAAAAGAAGTTACTTATAAATTATAAAGGAATTTTCCTTTAGAAAACAAATCAATGGCATACATGTTACCACATTCACTGTCTACGTGAAACTTGTATCGTTTACAAAGTGCATCTCGACCTGCATTGAACAAAGACGGAGAATTTTAAGCTTGAACTTTGAGATCAGCAAACCGTTATTTTTATAAACTGAAATAGGATTCCAATGGCTACATGTCACAACGACACATACCTACAGTTGGAAGCTTTGAAAGCATTTGTACAAGAATTGCAGCAACATCAGCCACATCATAGGATCTCTCTCCAATGTCATCACATATGGCAAGTTTTATAGCGGCTGACTGGTCACTGATTCGCATTGGAAGTATTCCGGGAGAATCCAGCAATTCAAGATCTTTCCCAAATCGAATCCACCTTTTATGTTAAGAGAAGAATACAATAAATCATGTATTCAGCATGTTACGAGAGATTCACCATTGTTTCTTGCTTAAGGTCCAAGTTCTAGTCAGACCAATTTAACCATGATAAACTTTGCATGAAACTGATTTTAATTTAAAACTTAAACAGAATATGCCACCTTTAACTTCTTCCCTCTGTTGAGAAAAATAAAACCCAGGAAGCTAAATTTTCAACATTTGGGATATATATCCTTTTGATGAAAATTCAAGTGTTGCGACAGCTCTGGACTATATGTTTTAAAAACTAAACATATCTTGGAATGTTAACTAGTCCTACTCAATTGATTATGTGATTTAGGTTGGCAACAAAATCTTTTTGATACTATTACCAGTTAAAACAAAATAAACCAGCATTGACTCTTTCCTCTGTTGAGACTTGAGAGCAAGATCAACCCGAGAAGCTATATTTTTCAGCTTTGGGATGTAAATCAGGAGACATGTTAAGTCCATTAGGATTACTCCGTTCAATTACTTTTTTATGTTTTAGTTGTGCGCAGGGACCTTAAAAACATTATGGCCATGTTTAGCATAAGATACGGGCAAAGATACAACTCAACAGTACTGATGTTAGTGCCCGGTAGCAAGTTGGCAAACTACAAACAAGAAATCTGAAGTTAGAAATTATTTAGGGAAATAAAATGAATAAATTACCTCAATGTTCTTGTAACTCCTGGCCTTGGAGCTGCTGGACACAGTCTTCGCTTTAACAAACGGTTGATCAGAGATGATTTTCCAACATTAGGGTATCCAACTATTCCAGCTCGAACCTATTCAACAGTAACATGCATTCTTTTATATAACAATAATGTTGAGAAGCATTAGTGTATTACATGTGAACTGCAATGATTTTCTACCAATTAAAGGAAAAGTTTTTCCTTGTGCAGGTTCTGAAGTTCATAACCGCAAAGTTCACTTCCATAGTACATAATTCACATTGGTGAATAATAAAATAAATTTTCGAATATAATTATGAAACAGAAGACAATGCTGCATAAAAATTTTAGAATATAATCATGAAACGAAAGACAACGCTACAACCAAATTGGTTTGCAATTGCTACAAGCAACCCACCGGACGAGGAAGTAGTCCTTTGGCCCTCCGCTTAACATTTACATCAGCTGCTAACTCCTTTGCTAACCGGCCTAGCTTCATAGTGCCCTGTACATAGATCATAGGATCAGATATGTTGAACACGAACCTTCAGAACACGGAGAGTAGGAGGAGAAAAGATCTTGTTAGGATACCATTCCAAGCTGCCCATTGGAGAAGACAACCTTTGTTCCAAGCTTAGTAAAATATTCTGCCCAAGCATTCCGATCTGCGGTTGATATCATGTCTTCTCTATTTAAAACCATAATTCTCTTTCTATTACCAAGCCATAGATCCATCTGCAAAAGCAGCAATAAAAACTAGATGAAAAATTTAGATGTATCTCCACGTACAAAAGGCCTAACTACTGTACTTAAATACAAATATTATGGAAAATAGCATAACACCGATGGAGTGCTTGAAAGAACTTACCTTATGAATAAGCATTTTTCCGCATTTAGAAAAACTTATGAAAAATAGCTTATAATGTGCCCATAAACCATTTTTACTTTATTTTCATAATTTCACCATAAAGTTATAACAATAGCTTATAGACAGCTTATGTGGGATTTCACCTCATCCCCTCTTCAATTGTAGCAAGAAGTTGTATATAAGCGCTTAAATGATAACTAATTGTTAAACAAGTTCCTAATTAAGTTGATTGCCAAATAACCCCCAAGTGTATTCAAAATCAAGGATTACGGAAAATAGAAATTAGTTCAAATTTCGCTATGCTACAATACCATAGTGCCTCTATTTGACAACACTTGCCTGTGGATGACTTGTGGACAACGGAATGCGACCGTCCCGAACCTCTATAACCACATCCATCAACTTAAGTTGTTCCTTCAGTTCCTTTTCCGCTTTTGCAATATGACCAGGAAACCACTGTCCAATACCGAGGAATAATCAGCGCCTCAAATTTCGAAATTTTTTTGAAACAAAGCAACAACCAACAGATACATACACAAAGGCACATGATAAATACCTGCACCGGGCGCAAAACCTTTGTCCAGTGATAAAGATTAGTGTCAATATGAGTCCAAAGATCAGTCTCTCCTAGGTTACCATCAAATGTGTTGTTGCCAATTATCTGCAACATTCTCAATCACAGAGAAAAATTAACAATAATCAATTTTAATTAATGAATTCAGTTGTGGATTTGGGTATATACAATACAAGTTCATAGCTTGAATTTCAAAAGCACCAACTATGACGGAAACGATGAAGGGGAAAGTTGAGTTACCTGAACGGTGGGAGATTGAGATGAGAGTGTTGGTGTGGCGGCGAGAGATGATGTGGAAAATCTTGGACGGTTGGGAAGTTTCCCAGAAATTTGTGGAGATGGAGAGTTCGGAGTCCATAAGCATGATGATAGTTGAAATTGAACACTCATTGCCATGTTGTTCCTACTCTGATTTTCTGCTTATTGCTTCGTGTTGTTTCTTGGATAATGATAATTTCAAAGGAAGACGCTTAAAATATATATTTTTCTTCTTTTATTTTCTTTCTTTATTATTTGATACTAATATATACTCCGTCTATTTTTTAAGTAAATTTTAACTTCTAAAATTTATTTAATAAATAATGTATTTAAATTATATATATATATATATATATATATATATATATATATATATATATATATATATATATATATATATATATATATATATATATATATATATATATATATTAGATGCATTAATTATTTAATAAATATAAAATATTAAAATTTACTTATAAATAAGATTGAAGGGAGTATTTACTAAGTCAAAGTTAATGTTTTTTTTTTGCATTAAAAAAATTAAAACAATGTTTTCAATAAAATTTCTCAGATAATCATGTTTCCTCCTTAACTTTTTTTATAAAAAAATTACAACGGGAGCACAAGTTAATTGGATTGGCATTTGTACTAGAAAGTCAACCTTTTATCTATCATAAACAAGTTGGTTTTGGTTAAATCCATTGTTCAAAGTATGTTTCTTCACTCTTTGTTAACTTATTCATGGCTTGTTTCTATTTTAAAAACTATTGGGCATTGGATACAGAATTTAATTTGGATAGGTGAGATTGATAAAAGGAAAATGTTACCGTTGCATGTCAGAAATGTTGTCGGCCTTTTGAGGAAGGAGGGTTGGGGTTACGTTTCTTGTTAACTTTGAATGAAGTTTCTAGTTTAAAGCAATGTCAAACAATATTAGGACATGATCATCTCGAAGGATCAATAGGCAATTTTAGTTAGACATATAGTTACGAGGAATAACATGCACATAAAATATCATACTTATTCTTCTTTGTGAAGCACCATAAAGGGATCTTTTAGTGAAGTTATACATAATTCGAGTTGGCTTCTTGAAAATGGCAGAAGCATAAAATTCTGTTTGAATAAATGGAACAGCTCTTCCATAGTGGATTCCCATGGCATTAATGATTGAAATCATGATTTCATAAATGACAAAATTTTCTATTACATTTTGAATTGGGAATGGAATTTTCCTCACAACATTATCATGAATTTTCCATCTCTCACTAACCTTCTTTCTAAAGTTCACATTCCCATTGTTGAAAAAGAACATGCTTGTATTTGGAGCCTTGTTGATGATGGTATCCTCACCATAAAGGTTGCTTATAGGTTCAAACATGTTGCTGCTCCAATTCTGACTTGGGGGAAATTCATATGAAATATTCACATCCCAAC